GTCGCACTTCCCTGCGTTGGAGAGGTGTGACAAAACATGTAATAAAATATCAATGATCACGCCGGTGTTTGCGTCATTGCGATTGCATACACCAACGTTGGCACATTCCATATTGCTGTGCGCTTTACCGCGTGCGCTGGCCTTGTCGACCCATGCTGTTGCGTTCGGACAGAGACCTACATAGATCGCATCTCTGCGAGAATAGATATGAACAAAGCAAAGCTGGCGCGGCCCATCCCACGACCGGAGCAATCGGCGTTATACGACCAACTATCATCGCACTGACACACATTCTCAGATGAGCACTCCCCGTGTCCACTACATTGGTTTGGACACGCCGGTGTCACCGGGCGCACGAGGGCTAATATCAAAAGAAATCTGCGCACAAAGCGCGGCTGTACAGAAACGATCCGCATTATTCTGTCATCCATCACTGATTCCGGTACAATCGTATCTAGCGGACTTATGGTATCTCCAACATATAGGGACCCCCGAGGTCCCGGGCGGCGTGGTCAATTTTTCAAGCCCACCCACCACCCTCCTGCGGCACAAGGAACAGCCCGCCCCGTCCCACCCTCCTCCGTCCCTGCTGAGGTGGCTGCGCCATCCAAGCGCGGTCCGTCGGCCTTCACACAGGACGCCAAGGACACTTCCCCCCAACGGCCTCTCCAGCCCCGTCAACGGCCTCCCAACGGATAGTCCCCAGGGGCAAGTCCGGCCTCAACGTGGCCAAAGATACCTATCGCCAGCTGCACCACGCGATGGGGCGGCCTCCTTGAGGTCCCCAGCCTGCTGCCCGGTCCGCTGGCAGCGGCACTCTAAGTCACTGGCACACTGCCAAACACACCGGGCCGTGTCATTCTGGGTTGCTGAGCCCACTCAGCTCGCTCCTGCGCATCCTGCTCGCACATCCCCACGCCCACCTCCCGCGACTCGCACAGTCGCCTAAGCCCGCCCAGTAGGACGGCAGATCGGCCCGGCTCGCTCAGCCTCGGCGCTCCGATCGACACGCCCCCGGCCTCCGCTCCGCCGCGAACCCGGCGAACCAGCTTACGGCTCCCGAGGTCGCCGACCGCCTCGCGCGCACCATCGACGCCATGAGCGGCCGCCCCGCGGAGGGCCCGCCCCTCGTCGTCGACGAGAACGCCTAGACCACATCCTCATCTCGCGTGTCCGCGCTGCTTCCCCAGCTCGCTGCGGGGGAGCACAGGACGCCAAGGACACTTCCCCCCAACGGCCTCTCCAGCCCCGTCAGCGGCCTCCCAACGGATAGTCCCCAGGGGCAAGTCCGGCCTCAACGTGGCCAAAGATACCTATCGCCAGCTGCACCACGCGATGGGGCAGCCTCCTTGAGGTCCCCAGCCTGCTGCCCGGTCCGCTGGCAGCGGCACTCTAAGTCACACTGCCAAACACACCGGGCCGGGTCATTCTGCTTCATTCCC